CCGAAGCAGCTTTCCTCGAGAGGAAGACCACAAAGCCCTGCATTTCCTTCAAATGACGATTCACAAAGTAACTTGGTGGCAAGCTTCCAGTAAACTCATTAGCAGATATCGAAATCCGAGAGGACCTTTATGCGGAGGAGATATAGGACCGAAGAATTTGTTTGAACGGAGGACAAGGACTTGCAAATTCGGCAAAGCCTTGAGCGAGAAAGGAAATGTATCTTGGATTTTGTTGTTTTCAACGCCTAGAAACTGTAGAGATGAGCAATTAAGGAGAGACCTTGGAAGCTTTCCAGTTAGTCGATTGTAGCCAACCTTGAGTGTGTGCAGAGTGGAGCCGACGTAGAACTCGTCAGGAATACTTCCATCCAAGTTGTTGTTCCGAAGATTCACAAAAGTGATATTACTCAGACATGGAGGAATTGGACCGGTAAAGTTGTTGTAGCCTAGATCAAGGCCAAACAACGAGCTTCTGTTGCAGATTGAAAGAGGTATCTCTCCAGTAAAACTATTCATACTAGCAGAGAAGACGTTGATAAAGAGTGGTAGATTCGGAAGTGCTCCTTCAAAATTGTTTGAATCCAAAATTAAGATCTGCACTGATGAGTTTACTAAAACATCCACCGAACCTTGGAAACCATTGAATGAATTATCTTCAACAGACACTCCGCTGAGACGAGGAAAGCTCCATAACCACTCAGGGAGTTTCCCATCGATTCTATTGCCGGACAAGTCTATACTCTCCAAATTCGGAAGGGTCCTTAAGATCTTTGGGAACTCTTTGATGCCACATTCCATCAAGCATAACACTTCCAAGGTCAATGGGATATGTGAATCTGAACTTAAACTGGTCGGAGATATACTGTTACCAGAAAGATCAAGGTACACCAATGATTTGAGAGAGGAGAAGAGACTTAAGTCGATCGGGTCGCTTGTGTTTAGGGAACCAAGGTCAAGATACTTGAGGTTGATGAGCTTTGAGATCGGCTTTATGATTTTTCCTTCTAAATGGTTACGCCCAAGGTACAAGAACTCGAGCCTAGATGAGGCAGAGGAGTTAGGAACTTCAATAGAACCGTTGAAATAGTTTTGATGCAGAAAATAGGTATGATAAGAAAGGCATAGTGAATATAGAAGAAGGAATGGTTCCAGAGAAGAAATTATCATGAAGTAGTAGAAGGGAGAGCTTAGTTAGATTTTGAACAAGTGGGAAACTACTAGAAAGCTTGTTTTCTTTAAGGTACAACTCGCTTAAACGGGTTAAGTTACTAATTGTGGGAGGAACTTGACCAAAGAAGCCATTAGAGGAAAGAGAAAGGTCCTCTAATCTGTTGAGATTGCCAAATTCAGAAGGGAGTGAGCAAGTAAAGTTGTTGAAATCGAGATTAAGGTAACGGAGGTGGTGCAACTCAAAGAGGCCACTGTTGGGATTCAAAGTTCCAAAGAAGTGATTATAGGAAAGGTCTAAAACAGAGAGCTTGGTTAGATTTCGTACAAGTGGGAANCTACCAGTGAGCTCGTAGTTATGGGAAAGGTCTAAATTAGAAAGCATGCTTAGGTTACTGAACGAAGAAGGAACCTGGCCAAGGAAGCCATTAGAGGAAAGAGACAAGACTTCTAACTTGTTGAGATTGCCAAATTCGGAAGTGAAGAGGAGATGAAGTTGTTTTCAAGGAGATTAAGGTAACGAAGATGATGAAACTCAAAAGAGGCTACTGTTGGATTTGAGAGTTCCACTGAGGCAGGCCCTGAGTCGTAGCATCGTGACCTCACCCGTCGAGTTATCGCAGCATACTCCATTGAAGGGGTCGCTGTGGTTACAACCACGAGTATCAAACTCGTTCTTGAACTCCATAAAGGCTTGGATCTGGCGGGGAGGACAAGCAACAAGGCCGACAACAGGATTTTTAAAGTGGAAGTTGAAAGTGAAGAAGCTTGAAGGGGAGACACAACAGAAAAAGAGCAGCAAGAGCAAATGCAAGCGCATAGAGGATTCCGACATGATGGAGGTCGTCATGAAAACTTTTTAAGAGGAATGGTTTTTGGTTTAATAAGAAAAGTGAGAGAGTAGATTTGGTATAAATAATGAGGAGCGAAAAAGTGCTTTTGCATTGGAGCACAAATTGACGTAGACCTAATTAAGTGGCTAAGAGCCATTCAAATCATGAAGTGAAATCCACGTTAATTAATTTTTTTCCTAGCGTATAAATTGAATTGAAATCACATGAGTGAAATTTCTCACATATTTTCAAAACTACAGATATTTTATATTTCAACTTTAGCATAAAACGGCACACACATTGAATACGTTTTGTGGAATGTTGGACAAGTTTTCTGGAGTAGCCTTGCAAAGATAATAACGTGACAAAGTGGTTTAAGGAGAGAGAAATGACGAGAGGTTTATACG